TTCTACCTGCCCGTTACTCTCCGGGTGGTACCCTGAGGTAAGGCTAACCGAGACCCCCAAACGCTCCATGAACGCTCTCCAAACACGGGAGGTAAACTGGGGGCCTCGATCAGACACTATATCCTCGGGTACCCCGTAATGCCGGAAGACGTGGGTAAATAGGGCCTCAGCGGTCTGTAGGGCAGTAGGAAGACCCGACATAGGGAGAAGACGACAGGCCTTTGAGAACCGGTCCACAACGACCAGGATGGTGGTATTCCCCTGAGAGAGGGGAAGGTCTGTCACAAAATCCACCGAGAGGTGGGACCATGGTCGTTGTGGAACGGGCAGGGGTTGCAACTTACCCCTGGGCAGATGTCGGGGCGCCTTACACTGGGCGCACACCGAGCAGGAGGAGACATAAACCCTCACATCCTTAGCCAAAGTAGGCCACCAGTATTTAGTGCTAAGGCAATGCACTGTCCGGCCAATACCCGGATGTCCAGAGGAGGGTGACGTGTGAGCCCAGTAAATGAGTCGATCCCGAATCTCGAGCGGAACGTACTTCCGACCCTCAGGACACTGTGGAGGGCTGGGGTCGGTACGCAACGCTCGCTCGATTTCGGCATCGACCTCCCACACCACCGGTGCCACAAGGCAAGACTCCGGTAGTATGGGAGTAGGCTCAACGGACCTCTCCTCCGTGTCATACCGCCGGGACAGTGCATCTGCCTTACCATTCTGGGACCCAGGGATGTACGTGATTTTAAATACGAACCTGGTGAGAAACATACTCCATCGAGCCTGGCGAGGGTTCAGTCTCCTCGCTGCCCGGATGTACTCCAGGTTCCGATGGTCAGTCAAAATGAGGAAAGGGTGTTGAGCCCCCTCAAGCCAATGCCTCCACACCTTAAGGGCTTGAACTACAGCTAACAGCTCCCTGTCCCCAACGTCATAGTTACGCTCCGCCGGGCTGAGCTTTTTTGAGTAAAAAGCACAGGGGCGGAGTTTAGGTGGCGAGCCGGACCGTTGAGAGAGAACGGCCCCTATACCTGCCTCAGACGCGTCCACCTCAACCTGAAAGGGTAATGCGGGATCTGGATGCGCCAGCACCGGAGCCAACGTAAACAGGTCCTTCAGTCTCCCAAAGGCCCTGTCCGCATCAGCTGACCACTGCAGGCGCACCGGACCCCCTTTCAGAAGGGAACGTGATGGGAGCTGCCACCTGTCCAAAACCCCGGATAAACCTCCTGTAGTAATTCGCAAAGCCCAAGAACTGCTGCACCTCTTTTACAGTGGTTGGGGTTTGCCAATTACGCACAGCGGACACACGATCCACCTCCATTCTCACCCCTGACGCGGACAACCGATAATCCAAAAAGGAGACCGACTCCTGGAAAAACAGACATTTCTCTGCCTTGACATATAGGTCGTGCTCCAACAGCCTCCTCAATACACGACGCACCAGGGTTACATGCTCGGCTCGGGTAGACGAGTACACCAGAATATCATCAATGTACACGACCACCCCTTGTCCCTGCATATCCCGGAAAATGTCATCTACGAAGGATTGGAAGACTGATGGAGCATTCATCAACCCATATGGCATGACAAGATACTCGAAATGACCTGACGTGGTACTAAACGCTGTCTTCCATTCGTCGCCCTCCCTAATGCGCACCAAGTTATACGCGCTCCTGAGATCCAGTTTTGTGAAAAACCGCGCTCCATGCAATGACTCCGTCATGGTCGCAATCAGAGGGAGTGGATAACTGTATTTCACAGTAATCTGATTGAGACCACGGTAATCAATGCACGGGCGCAACCCTCCATCTTTCTTTTTCACAAAAAAGAAGCTTGAGGAGGCGGGAGAAGTGGAGGGCCGAATGTATCACTGTCTCAAAGATTCGGCTATGTAAGTCTCCATAGCTTTTCTCTCCTCTTGAGACAAAGGATACACATGGCTCCGTGGGAGCGCTGCTCCTGCCTGGAGATCAATCGCACAATCCCCCTGTCTATGAGGAGGCAACTGCGTCGCCCTAGTCTTGCTAAACACGAGAGCTAAATCCCCATATTCAGGCGGAATGTGCAGTGCGGGCACTTGGTTTGGACTTTCCACCGAAGTCACTCCCACAGAAACACCCAGACATCGCCCCTCGCACTGAGCAGACCACCCATCGAGAGCCCTCTGTTGCCACGAAATAGCAGGGTTATGGGTGCTTAACCAGGGAATTCCCAGCACCACTGGGTACGCAGGAGAGTCGATCAGATACAGCTGTATAGTCTCTTCATGACCCCCCTGCGCACACATCCTAAGTGGCGCTGTGATCTCCCTAATCAACCCCGACCCCAACGGGCGGCTATCTAAGGCATGAACGGGAAAAGGTTTGTCAACAGGTAGGAGAGGGATCCCTAAATCTACACAAAACTTCCGATCAACAAAATTCCCAGCTGCGCCTGAATCTACTAGCGCCTTATGCTGGGAATGAGGTGCAACCTGTGGAAAACAAACAGGTATACAAAAGTGCGCAACAGAAAGCTCTGGGTAAATGGGACGTCTACTCACCTGGGAGGCCCCCCCAGTGCGTGGCCTGTTGTCTTCTCCCCCGGAGAACCCTCCCCAGCACCTGGCCGCAGTGTGCCCTCCACGACCGCACTTGGTGCAGGAGACAGGCCCCCTCGGGCTCCTCCTCCTCCTTTCTCTAGCGCCGGCACCCCCGAGCTCCATAGGGCTCGGCTCGGAGGTGCTGGAGGGCGGAATGGACGGACCCCCATCGGGACGTCCACGGGTGGCCAGCAGGGTGTCCAGACGGATGGACATATCGACCAACTGGTCGAAGGTAAGATGGGTATCCCTGCAGGCCAACTCACGTTGAACGTCCTCCCGTAGGCTACATCGAAAATGGTCGATGAGGGCCCGTTCATTCCACCCTGCGTCCGCCGCTAGAGTCCGGAACTCTAGAGCAAACGCCTGTGCGCTCCTCCCCTCCTGTCTCAAGTGGACTAGACGCTCCCCCGCCGCTTTGCCCTCAGGTGGATGGTCGAACACGGCCTTGAAGCGACGGGAGAACTCGGCGTAGGAGATGGTGTTGGCGTCCATCTTCCTCCACTCTGCGTTAGCCCACTCCAACGCCTTGCCCGTGAGACAGGAGATGAGGGCGGAAACGCTCTCGTGTCCCGAGGGCACCGGGTGTACAGTGGCCAGGTAGAGCTCCACCTGCAGGAGGAACCCCTGACACCCGGCAGCTGTTCCGTCATACGCCCTCGGGAGCGAGAGCCGAATCCCCCTGGGTTCCGGACCTGGGACTGGTGGACCGGCCGATGGGGTTGGCAGGGTAGGTGGAGGCGTGGGTACCCCGCTGGCCTCCCATCGGTGCAAGGTGTTGATGACGTCCTGTAGAGCGGTCCCCAGTTGTCGTATCTGGTCATCTTGGCCGCGGACATGCTCCTCGAGCGACTCAGGCGTAACTGCAGATCCTGCTGATTCCATTCTGGTGTGTGATTCTGTCAAGGGGTGCTGAAGGTGGATGTGGTGCATGAATCAAGCGCAGGACGCAGAAGCTCAGTCCAGAAGACTTTAGTGCAATAATCACGTAGAAAATAAGCACAATAAGCCCGAAGGCGAAACCACGGCGCACACAGGCGTCAAACAAACGGCACACTAACATGTGCGAAAACCCTCTCCAAAACACTGGAGGGAAGTATGTAGCTCCAACACAAAAACAGAAGAGCAATCACACACAAAGACAAACACAACCAACGAGAACTAAATAGGACACTAACGAGGACTAACAAGACACAGGTGTACAACATAAAGACAAAACCAAACGAACATGAAACATCGATCGGTGGCAGCTAGTACTCCGGGGGACGACGACCGCCGAAGCCTGCCCGAACCAGGAGGAGGAGCAGCCTCGGCCGAAACCGTGACACTGCATCAGAGGACCTGGCCTCCACAATCCCCCGACCTCAACCCAATTGAGATGGTTTGGGATGAGTCGGACCACAGACTAAAGGAAAAGCAGCCAACAAGTGCTCAACATATGTGGGAACTCCTTCAAGATTGTTGGAAAAGCATTCCAGGTGAAGCTGGTTGAGGGAATGCCAAGAGTGTGCAAAGCTGTCATCAAGGCAAAGGGTGGCTATTTGAAGAATCTGAAATATAATATAATATAAATTGCAAAGGTTTATAAAAACCTGTTTTCACTTTGTCATTATGGGGTATTGTGTGTAGATTGCTGCTTTTTTTCATTTATTTAATCTATTTTAGAATAGTGCTGTAACGTAACAAAATGTGGAAAAAGTCAATGGGTCTGAATACTTTCCGAAGGAACTGTATAGTCACCAATATAATGAAATGAACAGGACCTGCAGGAGAGAGAGCTTGTTTGACTGTATACCCTTGTTTGACTGATGAAATCTTTGGAAGGAACATTATGCTGTAGGCCATTGTCTTACACCAGCGCATCTGCACTGACGCGTGTTGCGTTAGAATGACGCCATCTGACCGAAGACAATGGCTGTAGACTAGAAAATTGAGGATCTGGGTAGGTCAGTATTCTGTCACAAATAAGTATTTTCTGATAGACTTACGATACACATTACTCTTCAATTTCTCAACCTCTCAGCGTTCAGCCAAGGGAGCCTGTTTAGGCCCCTAACACAGTTTAGTTGATGTAAAACAGTAGAAGAGTCATAATAAGGGTCTTTCCACTACACATGACTCACTCCACTAATGGTTTCTCCACACTATAGTAACTATAGTTTCAAGCTGGAGTTAATCAACATGACATAAAACACATTTTCTCAGCTCACAGTAAGGTACAGTACAGTGGGGGTTTTGGTTGACGGCGGCACCTCTCCTGGCATGTCTTTATATCTCACTGCCGCTCAAGCTTGTCACTCTAGAGCCAGAGCAATCAGGATTTATGATTAATCTGAACCCTCATTGTCACGGCTGATCTGCAGTCTGGAGGTTTGGTCACCAGAGGGACATCCATCTGAAAAGTGACATTAAGCACTCAGGGATAGCTCACTGTGAACGTCCTCCTGGGAGCCTTCAGCAGTTGGATCTCATATGCAAATTGTGAGTCGAGGAACAACCCTGTGTGATTCAGAAACAAGCCCTCCGACTCGGCTGTCACCGTCTCTGCCTCCCCGCCCTCCCCTGCCATCCTTCTCATTGTCCGTATATCGGGCTCCATCTGGGGCTTTGTGGGAGACAGCGCCTCCTGCTGTTGGTACCCCAGGATAGTGGTAGCAGCTGTGGTGGAAGGTGGGATGACGGGTTTAGCACGGTTAAGAACATACATCTCATGCCCGCGCTCATCGCGGTACTCCTCCAGCTGGGCAAAGGTTGTTGGTCCATCTGAGTAATCATTGACATACAGTATGCTTTCCTCCTTGTCATCTGTGTCCTTCTGCCGCTGGCGGTGCCGGCTGTAGATCATGGCCACCAGGAGAAGGGCAGTGAGGGCCAGCAGGGAGATCCCTATGGCGATGGCAGTCTGCGTAGCAGCTCCCAGCGTGCTGAAGGCCATGCTGCCAAGGGCGTACAGGGGCTCTCGCCTCACATCTGACGATGTTGGCCGATTGGAACGCAGACGAGGCCAGGATGGGGCGTAGGAGGCGGGGGACCAACCGGAAGAGGATGAGGAATTGATTCCTAGCTGAAAGGTCACATGGGCCACCCCTCCAGCGTTCCAGGCCTCGCACTCATACAGCCCGGCGTGAGCCACCGTCACATTGCTGAGGAAAAGCATCCCACTGCCCGTGTCTGGATCGAAGCGCTCCCCATCCTCCTTATGGAGTCTCACCCGCCCTGGGTGTGTTGCATCCTCAGCCCCCACGCTCCCTACACTGCCCAGGTCCTGCACCAGCCCCCGCGGGGAGAGTTGCAACTTGCCCTGGGACGCCTTCCTCCAGGTGACCTGTGGCCGGGGGTAACCAGAGGCATGGCAGGAGACACGTAGGCTCTCACCCAGGCGCACGGCCAGGCGGCGTGGCTCCAGCTGCACCAGAGGGGGGATACACACCAGACTGTTGAGAGGCACCTCCACCAAGCTGAGGTGGGAAAGGCGGGGCGGCTCGGAACACACCAAGCGCCTCTCGGCCGAGCTCAGCAGGCGCTGGCCCTCCTCATCGATCCAGCTGCGCAGCCAGTGCAGGGCACAGTCGCAACGCCACGGATTGTCTACAGTAGGAAATGATCATGTGATGAGTGGGTGTGGCCAAGTCAACATAGGAGGATGAAAAAGGATGTGACAGGACAATGACACAATTAAGATAGTCAGGAGGTCATTCTAGCTTAAGAACAAGAGCAGTATATTTACTGTATGCTTCTTTTATGGTTCCACAGCCCCACCCTATGTCCTCTCCCTTGGCGCTCCCCTTACCTGTGACACGCAGTACCTGCAGGCTGACGAGGGGCCGCAGGGTGGCAGGGCCGATGGTGTGCAGGTTATTCCGGCTGAGGTCAAGGAGGGCCAGAGAGGACAGACCAACTAGAGCCTGGTCTCCCAGCATCTCAATGTTATTTTGCTGCAGGTGAAGCTCTTGAAGACGCTATGGAAACAGGGATTGTAATCATTATTAGTAATGAATAGTGATATAATGTAGAGGAAGTCATTGACATTGAAGCGTCGATTGTTGTGTTGTGGTGGAACTCTAGACAACTATTTGGACAAACATGGTCTGTTTACAAGGGAGGAGGCGAACAGTAAAGAAAAGTATTGATTTAGCAAAACATTCACATGAGTGACTGATAATATGGGAACTGACCTGTAGGCCTCTGAAGGTATAGTCCTGTAGGCGAGTGATGTCATTTCCTGCCAGGTAGAGGATACGGAGGTTTTCCAGGCCCCTGAACATGTCTCCTGTAACCAGGTGGATGCGGTTCCCATTGAGGGCCAGCTCTAGAAGATTACCCTGGCTCTGGAAGGCCCCAGGCTCCAGGGCTGAGATACTGTTGTTTTGCAGATACAGGCAGTGCAGACGGCCCAGCTGGGAGAGGTCAGATAGATGGATCTGCCCGATAGCATTGTCCTGGAGGAAGATGGTCTAAATGGAATAGATGAACAGAAGGACAGAATACAATGATCAACAATGAGGAGGGGAAAGCATAACACCATCTGTAAACTCTCTAAGAAAATAAGGTATGTCTGAGTGTATGGATGATTCAAGACTGGCTATATTGTGTGGGGGGTGGGAGCCTATGTGTGTGTGGTTCTGGGAAACATATGTATGTGGTAGACATATTGAGTCATCATGGCTAACCTGTGTGGAAGGTGGGACATGTGAAGGGATGTCCCGAAGGCCCATAGAGCCACACTCTACAGTCAAGCTGTAGCAGCGACATCCCACTGGGCAGCCAATGGATGGGAGGGTGTGGATAGATAAGATCAGGAAAGCCAGAAAGGAGAAGGCCATCACACCAATAGGACAGAGATCCTAGAGAGAGACCGACAGACTGAGAAGAGAGAGATGGAGGGTCAGAGAGGAAAGAGGAAACAGGTTAAAGCAACAAATAAATATATAACTTTGTTGACAATATCTGCTGTATTAAACTCAAAATGATCTGCCTTAGCGCATAAACAAAATGCAAGTGTTAGTACAGTACTTATGTTGCATGCTGCCAGCCTGACTGTGAGGTTACAATACAGTGTCACAAGAGCAGAGGCATCCTTCCCATATGGGGCCCAAGGGCACGTGCCCCCTCAAATTTGTCCTGTTATAAAAAATGTCTGATGTTAAATTATTTACTAAACTTCATTTTTAAGCCCACATTTGATCATAATTGTTTATAAAAAAAGATCTGTCAGTGGTATTTTGAGGAGGGGGCAAAATACCCTAAGTGGTTCCTTCCAAGGTGCACGTGCATTAGCCTATCATCAGTGGAGGAGGAGAGAGAGTGTAGAGTGACACACACACAGCGTTTGATTTGAATTTAGCTGCCAATGATAGGCAGGACTAGCATGAGGTACACTATATATACAAAAGTATGTGGACACCCCTTCAAATTAGTGGATTCGGCTATTTCAGCCACACCCGTTACTGACAGGTGTATAAAATCGAGCACACAGCCATGCAATCTCCATAGAAAAACATTGGCAGTAGAATGGCCTTACTGAAGAGCTCAGTGACTTTCAACGTGGCACCGCCATAGGATGCCACCTTTCCAACAGGTCAGTTCATCAAATTTCTGCCCTGCTAGAGCTGCCCCGGTCAACTGTAAGTGCTGTTATTGTGAAGTGGAAACATCTAGGAGCAACAACGGCTCAGCCGCGAAGTGGTAGGCCACACAAGCTCACAGAACGGGATCGCGGAGTGCTGAAGCGCGTAGCGCGTAAAATTAATCTGTCCTCGGTTGCAACACTCACTACTGAGTTCCTAACTGCCTCGTCAGCACAATAATTGTTTGTCGGGAGCTTCATGAAATGGGTTTCCATGGCCAAGCAGCCACACACAATTCTAAGGTCACCATGCGCAATGCCAAGCGTCGCCTGGAGTGGTGTAAAGCTCACTGCCATTGGACTCTGGAGCAGTGGAAACGCGTTCTCTGGTGTGATGAATCATGCTTTACCATCTGGCAATCCGACGGACGAATCTGGGTTCGGCGGATGCCAGGAGAACGATATGTCCCCTAATGCATAGTGCCAACTGTAAAGTTTGGTGGAGGAGGAATAATGGTCTGGGGCTGTTTTTCAGGGTTGGGGCTAGGCCCCTTAGTTCCAGTGAAGGGAAATCTTAACTCTACAGCATACAATGACATTCTAGACGATTCTGTGCTTCCAACTTTGTGGCAACAGTTTGGGGAAGGCCCTTTCCTGTTTCAGAATGACAATGCCCCCGTGCACAAAGTGAGGTCCATACAGAAATGGTTTGTCGAGATCGGTGTGGAAGAACTTGGCTGGCCTGCACAGAGCCCTAACCTCAACTCCATCGAACACATTTGAGATGAATTGGAATGCTTACTGCGAGCCAGCCTAATCGCCCAACATCAGTGCCCAACCTCACTAATGCTCCTGTGGCTGAATGGAAGCAAGTCCCCGGAGCAATGTTCCAACATCTAGTGGAAAGCCTTCCCAGAAGAGTGGAGGCTGTTATAGCAGCAAAGGGGGACCAACTCCATTTTAATTCCAATGATTTTGGAATGAGATGTTCGACGAGCAGGTGTCTGTCCACATACTTTTGGTCATGTAGTGTATGTTTGTAAATGAATTTGATCAAGTTCTGTAGCCTATTGATTCATTTTTGATGAATAAATAAAACAAAAATGTTTTGTTGGTTCTCTGTAATACTAGACACCTAGCAGCAATTTTATGAAGTTGGCTTTAGCTAGCCAGATTGGTTCCCAATCTCCCAACCTCATAACTAGCTACCAAGTCATTTCAGGCTATCAATCAAGTTAGAGTAGCTTGGCTATCTTAGTTGGCATGCCTGCTGTCAAGGTTGCTAGACTTTAAAAACACAAGCAATTACTAAATGTACTGAATAACAGGGGCGCAACTTTGGTTTTAGAAGTGGGGGTGACATAAATGTTCATTTCTCTACCATAAGCCGCTTCCAACGTCGTTTTAGAGAATTTGGCAGTACGTCCAACCAGCCACACAACCACAGACCGCGTGTAACCACGCCAGCCCAGGACCTTCACATCCGGCTTCTTCACCTGCGGGATTGTCTGAGGGGGGGTGGAGGTGCTGAGGAGTATTTCCGTGTGTAATAAAGCCTTGCTCCTCAGTGGGTTGGCCTGGCTGCCAAGTGGGTGGGCCTATGCCCTCCAAGGCCCACCCATGGCTGCTGCCCTGCGCAGTCATGTGAAATCCATAGATTAGGGCCTAATTTATTTATTTCAATTGACTGATTTCCTTGTATGAACTGTAAATCTTTGAAATTGTTGCATGTTGCATTCATATTTTTGTTCAGTGTAGTAAAAAAAAATTTAAGAACCACCTGTCAGGAGAATAGACAGCTCAAGAGGTATGCTTAGACATGTAGAAGAATACTTGTTTTAAATGTAATCTGGCACCTTATGATAATATCATGATATCTGTGCATTAATTATGATGCCATGATATGTACCTGTATTGATGATGTGTGTTATGATCTCCATGTACTGTGTTGTAATTTGGATGTATTATCCGAGGCATGTTAGTGCAGTATATTGAGATGTGTGATTTACTAGTCACAATGACACCCTCTGGAATGTGTAGAATAGAATTAGGCATAATGATTATGGCTCTAGATTGCAGGAAAGAGCTGTTTCAGGTGTTTGAATAATGCTAAATACTTTGAAAACACCCCCTCCCCTCCAACCTCACGTACTTCGTGCCCCCTATAAAATAATGGGTGCATGACGCCCCTGAGAAAGATACTGCAATACTGAGGAGCCTTTATTAGGCAGATTCCATTGCCTGATCTCCGAACATAGGCTTCTGCAGGCAGCTGTGGAAGTACAAGCTTGGGTTAAGAGATGAGCAGACCAGTTCCTTTGAGAAGATGAGATCAATTCCAGGCAGTGACCAGGCAGTGATCATACATTTTCCTCTAATAAGCCTGACACCTAGCAAGGGCCTGGAGGCTTTCATGAAGAGCTGTGATGCAGCTCCAGGGGAATCGGTAAGTGGCATGCAGCATGAATCGTAGTAGTTATATGTTTTATAACAGTAGCCTATTCATGACCAGGCCTCTAAGCTCTGATTCTCCTGACTTTGTGGGTTTGTAGCCTATTGTAACTCGGGAATAAGTCAGAGAACGACAATATGCCAAAACTGTATCATAGCAGACATATTTAGCAGATTACGCCTATCTAGGCCTAGACAAATGGCTATACAGCCACCATTACTTGGGTACTACAACTAATAACGACAGTAATAATAATATTAGTAATACCACAACGCCTACTGCTAATAAATAATAATAATTAATAAATAATAATAATGCATTGTTTTATCATAATTAATTACTGTCACGGTTAGTTAGCCTACAACACACAAGCATAATAAATCGATATCTAATACATCCTACACTGTGATAATAATGCATAAACATTTGGCTACACACTGCCCAGTCCACATTATATCAGGTTTTTTTTTTAAAGAAAAGAGGCATCATCGGTAGCCACATACCAGACAAGGATGGAGAGATGCCCTATACAATTACAATCGCCCAATTTCGAATGGATCAGCTCGGAAGAGCGCGTTATTTCGATTAGAAGCACACAGACACCTTCCTATAGATTGGGCCATATTCTAACAGGATCGCCTCGGCAAAAGACACATCAGACGTTTTGAACACATTGTCCAAGGCTACTGTGGAACAATTATCATTGCACAGCGAGGGCCCCGCATCCCAGGAAATAGTCTACAGGATAATGTCCGAAACGTGCAGGCTAAAGTAGATGTCCAACCTCGAAAATATAAACTCCAACCCGACAGATTTGTATTCCAAAAAAGAAAAAAACAATTTTGATGAATCAGAATATCTCCTTTTCCTTTAATTCCATCCTGTTATTATTGCGCCCGCACCGTGTCATCCAATTCACTACGTTTCTGGTCTCTAGCCCCCCCTTCCTCCTCTCTCAAATGCATGATCACATAATAGCGTTACAGTTGAATTGTTAAACACTTGCTATGTTTACTTCTTGTCTTTTGTTTTATCTGATCTATTCCCCGATTTTCCTACCAAATAAATATCTTCGATATCACTTTCTATCTCCTTTTCTCTCAATCACGCGCGACAGCGAGCGAGTCTCCATCACACAACTTTTCCGTTAGTCCTGTCTTTCTTTCATTATGGCAACATTAACGGTCTATGTCTATATCACTAAAAGCATTATCCCCATTATTGCAATATAATAACAATATTATTATCTCATCTGTTTTAAGGAGGAGGAGGAGGAGGATTGTTACCATTATGGTTTAGGATAGTAGGTGATGATACATGACTAGATCCTTACATTCCTTCATGAGAGACAAATACAATGAGTGTGTAATGTGATCAATGAAATTAACCAGTTGAATTTCATTAGGTTTGTGTCCACATAGGCCCAATGGGCAAATGTGAGACACTGTCAGTGGAGATAAACACAACACAAATCCCTGGATACAAAGGCAAATTAATAATTGAACTGTCTGAGTTATCGAATTGTAACATTAACATTCAGACATTGGTGGTGTCCTAGAGTTTCAGGATATTGAGATGAGACGCCATTTCTAGGCATATAAAAAATTTCCACTACTGTATAGTGGGGACCCCTGCTGGTAAAACTGAAGAAGCTACCCAGATCAAGAAAGGTGGTTGATTCTATACAGGAGAAAGGCAAGGAAGGCATCATGCAATGGAAAACTGTGTTACTATGACCTCTATTGGCAGCTTCCTGCTTGTTCAGGGAGGAACATTATTGTATGATTCATATCATGTTCAATGTTTAGTCCTATAAGTCTAACAATTTATTTGAGAAATTACATTAAAGACACATCATCCACAGACAGCCGTGCACAAGCATTTCGCTGTACACAAGCATTTCGCTACACACGCAATAACATCTGCTAAATATGTGTATGCGACCAAATCAATTAACATATTATTGTTCTCCCACATAGTACCCGTCAAACCAGATATACAGTACCAGTCAAAAGTTGGGTTTTTCTTAATTTTTTACATTGTAGAATAATAGTGAAGACATCAAAACTATGAAATAACACATATGGAATCTTGTAGGAACCAAAAAAGTGTTAAACAAATTCAAAATATAATTTATATTTGAGATTCTTCAAATAGCCACCCTTTGCCTTGATGACAGCTTTGCACACTCTTGGCATTCTCTCAACCAGCTTCATGAGGTAGTCACCTGGAGTGCAATACTTAAAAGTACATTTGTGGAATTTCTTTCTTTCCTTAATGCATTTGAGCCAATCAGTTGTGTTGTGACAAGGAATAGGGCTTACAGAAGATAGCCCTATTTGGTAAAATACCAAGTCCATATTATACCCTGATGAAGACAGCTTGTCTGTCGAAATGTTGGTTATTAGGATATTAAATTATTGCATCTGAGCTCCTAGAGTGTGCGGCTAAGTGTTTTACGCCGTCAGCCAGCACCTCGCCTAAATAGGTGTGCGTTTCTTTTGCCTTTACCATATTATGTCAAGAACAGCTCAAATAAGCAAAGAGAAACGACAGTCCATCATTACTTTAAGATATGAAGATCAGTCCATTCGGACAATTTCAAGAACTTTGAACGTTTCTTCAAGTGCAGTTGCAAAAACCATCAAGCGCTATGATGAAACTGGCTCTCATGAGGACCACGACAGGAATGGAAGACCCAGTGTTAACTCTGCTGCAGAGGATAAGTTCATTAGAGTTACCAGCCTCAGAAATTGAAGCCCAAGTAACAGACACATCTCAACATCAACTGTTCAGAGGGGACTGTGTGAATCAGGCCTTCATGGTCAAATTGCTGCAAAGAAACCATTACCTAAGGACACCAATAAGAAGAAGAGACCTGTTTGGGCCAAGAAACACGAGCAATGGACATTAGACCGGTGGAAATTTGTCCTTTGGTCTGGAGTCCAAATTGGAGATTTTTGGTTCAAACCGCTGTGTCTTTGTGAGACGCGGTGTGGGTGAACGGATGATCTCTGCATGTGTATTTCACATCGTAAAGCATGGAGGAGGAGGTGTTATGGTGTGGGGTCGCTTTGCTGGTGACACTGTCTGTGATTTATTTTGAATTCAAGGCACACTTAAACAGCATGCCTACCACAGCATTCTATTCTACATCGATACCCACCCTGGTTGGCTTATTGGGGAAAACTATCATTTGTTTTTTCAACGGACATGACCCAACACACCTCCAGGCTGTGTAAGTGCTATTTTACCAAGAAGGAGAATGATGGATTGTTGCAACAGATGACCTGGTCCTCCACAATCCCCCCGACCTCAACCATTGGATGTTTGGTATGAGTCGACCGCAGAGGGAAGACAAGCAGCCAACAAGTGCTCAGCAAGTTGGAACTCCTTCAAGGACTGTTGCAAAGCATTCCTTCTGTCACGATCGTCGAACATAGATGAGACCAAGGCGCACGTGCAGGCAAACATACCTTATTAGAGACAACGATCACAAACGACAAACGACAACGTGAACAGTTTTCACGGTCCTAACACTACAGACTAGAAACAAAAGATCCCACAACTCTGTGGGGAAACAGGCTGCTAAAGTATGGTTCTCAAGCAGAGACAACAAGCAACAGCTGATCACATATTGCCTCTGATTGAGAACCACACTGGCCAACATAGAAAACCACAATACGCAGAATGTGAAACCTAGAACAAACACACATAGACTTTACACCCCCTGGCTCAACATTTAGACCCGAGCCAGGGCGTGACCCTGGGGAAGCTGGTTGAACGAGGATGCCAAGAGTGTGCAAAGCTGTCCATCAAGGCAAAGGGTGGCTATTTGAAGATTCTCAAATATAAAATATACTTTGACTTGTTTAACACTTTTTTGTTTGTGTTATTTCATAGTTTTGATGTCTTCAATATTATTTGACAATGTAAAGAATAGTAAAAATAAAGAAAAACCCTTGAATGAGTAGGTGTGTCCAAACTTTTGACTGGTAGTGTACATTAGAAGCATCTATTACAAGTGGTTTACATCATAATATAATCAATTATGTTTAGTTTCACAGAGAGATAAAGAAAAAATGCAACCTAATTACATATTTCTGATGTGTTTGAGCAGATTTACAAATCAAGTCTTTCCGGTCTTCTTTAGTTTGATGATTCTGAAGGAGCTGATTTCACTGTATGTTGCCTTGAGATAGACCTGCAGCTGTAATGCTGCCTGAGAAGGAGGAAGTAGAGAAGGATGGTGTTGTTGACAGGGAGATAGACAAGTGAAAAGTGAGAGAACAATGCATCCTAACTTCATATTTCTGAAGTGTTTGAGCACATTCACAAATCAAGTCTTTCCGGTATTCTATGACTGATTCTGATCTATGTCACCCTGGCAGATAGCCTAGCGGTTAAGAGCATTGGTCGCTCTGGATAAGCGCGTCTGCTAAATGACTAAAATGTAAATGTGTAAGTAGTGCATTTGTTGTTTCTGAGTGTTGAGATAGGCAAAGAGAAAGCAGAAGCAGTTACCTTCTGAATAGACACTTCAAGAGATGCATCAGTTGAATTGGATGGAGCAAGAATGGATATCTTCAACTACCAATCACCGTCTGAATGTCTAAAAAATATGACATACTTTGCATTAATGGCAAAAAAAATAAAAAATAATTGCCCATCCCTCTTCGATGTTGGGTGTCCTGTGACATTGAAACTCAGGCCAGTTTTTGGTGTTGCCCAAAACAGGTACAGAGCAAAATACTATCAAACACATCATGTACGCTTTAACTGTTAATGTTTTTAAAAAAAGAGGGATCAAGGGTATCTGCATAGTCAGGACAGCAGTCATTTTGAGTCCGACAAGACTTGTCACAGAAGCACCCTCTGAAGCAGTTCAAGTTGGTGCCTTTACAGCACAAGGCCAGCTGCGCAAACAATTTCCTTTAGGATGATTGGAATAACATACATTATTAAACAGGAAGGTTAAATGTAAAGCCTTGATAAAATGTACTTAGAAAATTCACATTTTGATGTGGTAGAGAAGAAAACTAAAGGAACCTGGAAATGAGAATACTGGGAATGATGTGGAAGTGGAATTGGTTGCGTTGGTGGTTGCATTGGTTGCATTGGAGACTGGGGACACCGTGGCTGATAAGGAAGTTCCATTCTGCACACCTTTAAACAAAGACAGTAAATGATGCCACCTCAGACACATGTAGCATGTTTACAATTGGAAGTTTCTACAATTTCAAAATTTGACAACTATTATTAATAGTGATCAAGGGCCTCCATAAAAACAGACATGATAAAACAGCGGCCCAACTGTACCGGTCACACAAGTAGTCTGGAAGTCTGGGCAGCAATCGTTAAGCTGTAGACAGGCCACATCACAGAAGCACCCTCTGAAACAGGAATTGTTTTGTCCAAGACAACACAGAGGTGGATGTGAAGAACATTTCCCTAGAATGCAAACATATAAAAACAAGTGTGAAAAGGATAGGTGTAATTTACCTTGCTACTGAATGTAAATTCTGTAAAAGGTTATCTTTTATTCTGAATTTCAAAAATTGTACATTTTAAAATAATGGGACAATAATTAGAGTATATGGTAGTTATATTTAAATTACTTTGATTAATAATGTATTTTATCTGATACATTGCAGAGAAACTTACTTGAGAATGAAGCCACCAGAGGAACTGGGTTAGTTGTACTATACCCAGAAAATGTTACATCTATTGACGAGGGTGTTATACCAACTGATGAAGCTGTTGTATCTGATGGTGAAGTTGTTGAGGATGAAGTGGCTGTTGAGCTTGACAGTGGATCAGTTGAGCTCGTTTGTGGGGCAGGAGTCCCACTTGACTGTGGGGCTGCTGAGCTCAATGGTGGATCAGTAGTGCTCGATGGTGGAGTTGCTGTTCTCAGATGACAAACAGTAAGATAAAATGGAGCCATTCATGCAGAAGATGAATGTTTGCAACAACAGCAAAAAATCAGTGGACTTGAAAGCCTATTCAATTTATTTGTGTCGTATTTATTATCAACAGTATTGAATTGGAATGTGTTATTCTCACGTTGATATGGGATAACCAGTGTAAAGTACAAGACTAAGTGGCTAAAATTTAAACATTACATTTTGTATTCATGTCCTTGACTGTACATTTTTATGTAAAAAAAGGTTAATCTACAGTATGTGTTTGTGCTCCACTGACCTGTAGTAGTCTGTCCATTTACAGTGTGAAGGATAAATAGAAGAGCAATGAGTGCAGTGTAACAACCCATTCTGATACGTGCCAATTATCCAGTCTGTTTTCTTCTAAACCTTTATGGTCAATGTCAGTGAAGTCATCTGGAGATATCTAGTCTCATGTCCTATTTATCCTGTTTAGGTAGAGCTCCTCCTCCCTGCGTGGTAAGGAAATAGAGGGATGATTGGCATCTGTGCATTCCTATCATTACTCGTCTGATTATTTAAAAATATATATATTTTAGAGGGTAGATCAGCTTTAATATTGCAGATAGATTGCGGCTTCTATCAATTTAATTGTCTGCATAATTTCCAATCCTCCATATATATTGTTTTATAAACATACACTACCGGTCAAAAGTTTTAGAACACCTACTCATTCAAGGGTTTTTCTTTATTTTTATTATTTTCTACATTGTAGAATAATAGTGACAACATCAAAACTATGAAATAACACATATGGAATCATGTAGTAACCAAAAATATATTTTATATTTGAGATTCTTCAAATAGCTACCCTTTGCCTTGTATACTTGTATAAGTATTCAGACCCTTTGCTATGAGACTCAAAATTGAGCTCATGTGCATCCTGTTTCCATTGATCATCCTTGAGATGTTTCTACAACTTGATTGGAGTCCACCTGTTGTAAATTCAATTGATTGGACATGATTTGGAAAGGCACACACTATATAAGGTCCCACAGTTGACAGTACATGTCAGAGCAAAAACCAAGCCACGAGGTCAAAGGAATTGTCCGTAGAGCTCGAGACAGGATTGTGTCGAGGCACAGATTTGGGGAAGGGTACCAAAAAATGTCTGCAATGCTGAAGGTTCCCAAGAACACAGTGGCCTCCATCATTCTTAAATGGAAGAAGTTTGGAACCACCAAGACTCTTCCTAGAGCTGGCCGCCCGGCCAAACTGAGCAATCGAGGGAGGAGGGCTTTGGTCAGGGAGGTGACCAAGAACCCAATGGTCACCCTTACAGAGCTCCAGAGTTCTTCTGTGGAGATGGGAGAACCTTCCAGAAGGACAACCATGTCTGCAGCACTCCTCAGTAAAAGGCACATGACAGCCCGCTTGGAGTTTGCCAAAAGGCACCTAAAGGACTCTCAGACCATGAGAAACAAGATTCTCTGGTCTGATGAAACCAAGATTGAACTCTTTGGCCTGAATGCCAAGTGTCACATCTGGAGGAAACCTGGCACCATCCCTATGGTGAAGCATGGTGGTGGCAGCATCATGCTGTGGGGATGTTTTTCAGCGGCAGGGACTGGGAGACTAATCAGGATCTAGGGAAAGATGAACGGAGCAAAGTACAGAGATCCTTGATGAAAACCTGCTCCAGAGTGCTCAGGACCTCCGACTGGGGCCAAGGTTCACCGTCCAAAAGGACAACAACCCTAAGCACACAGCCAAGACAACGCAAGAGTGGCTTCGGGACAAGTCTCAATGTCCTTGAGTGGCCCAGCCACAGTCCGGACTTGAACCCGATCGAACATCTCTGGAGAGACCTGAGAATTACTCTCGTCTGACCACATTCTTACCACATATCAACCTTTTGTTTTCTCTTACTGTAAAATGCTGCATTTCCTTCTAGCCTAGTGTAAGTTGTGCATTCAAGTCTCATATCAAGTACTACTCACTAATCATTATTATGAATAATTTATTCATTTAGAATCCTAACCATTTCCAGAATCCAGAGTTCATAAAAATGTATTATTACAGAGAAATTGTAGTACACATTAAAAAAGTTGTACATGAAAAATGACATAGAGATACTGTAAGCATCCATCAAGAATTAGGTTTCAGACATTTGAAAATATTTATTGTTGTGATGCTTTACACAGAGAAAATTATAAATGTTAAAGCTATTAATGTGCACCAGAGCTCTCCAACCCTGTTCCTGGAGTGCTACCCTCCTGTAGGTTTTTGCTCCAACCCCAGATGTAACTAACCTGATTCAGCTTATCAACCAGCTAATTATTAGAATCAAGTGCGCTAGATTTGGGTTGTAGCGAAAACCTACTGGACGGTAGCTCTTCAGGAACAGGGTTGGAGAGCCCTGATGTTCACTGTATTGTAGCATAGCATGAAGCTTGATTATTGACTGCATATTTGGCCAAAGACTGGGGTAAATCTTAAAGAAAGCTTTAAATGTGTTAAAGAACTGTAAGAAGCCCTTTTCGGGGGTCTGAAAAAGCCTGCATTTCTGAGAGGTTATATTTTATACAAGTAAATAAGGGAAAGTTTTACTTTTTGCTTCACGCCCAAACTCAACTCTGCTCCATGAGGGCTAAACTGTAGACCCTTCAAACTCAACTCCGGACCTCGAAGCCAGTGCCACTGCATTTTTTCCCATTGTTCCCCTCTAATCAGGGACTGATTTAGACCTGGGACACCAGGTGTGTGCAATTAATTAAAAACCAGCAGGCTCCAGACCTCGTAGGGTCAGAGTTGAATACCCCTGCTGCATATCTTCACCAAAATAATGCAATAACTGTTTACATCTTCTGTCAAATGGTTCCTGCGTTAACTGGAAAATGATTGTGTTCATCCATAACCTTGGTTGAGTTGCACTTGAACCAGGAAACAAATGGGTTGAGGTATTTGAGCAGGTTTTGTTACATGCTTCAGATTTTTGATTGTTCATATAGTAATCTGACAGCATTGACTATAAATATGATTTGATCTGAACTTGAACTGTAAGATAACATGCACAGGGTTATCAAACAGTAGCACAACCTTATTGTCAGTGAAATATGGCAGTAAAGCAGGCAGTGTTAGGGTTTTCAAAGTGCCTGTAAGGGTTATTTTTGTCCAGGATACTAAGGCACACCCAGCAGAAGTACTGACCACAGGTTAAACAGGCCATCTTGTTGCAGCCACCATTCTTCTGTAATGAGAGGATACACACTGGTCAGGAGGATGACGTCAAACCATGGGATGCCAAAGGTACAATAGGCTGGTTATAGAGCTCAGGCTTACCTGTATGTTGGCACAGCAGGATGGACATTCTTTGCTGTTCTGGCCTTTCCAGCCTTCACTCAGGCTCTCCTCCACCACTGTGTTGAGAATGTGTTTCCCATAGCGTTTCTCCAGGAACTTTCTCCTCTCCTCACTGCCTGAGGCATAGTCTTCCCATAGGCCCTGGATCCCAGCTAAAGATAGAAACAGACAAACACAGAAAATGGAGCACAAGCTGGGATAAGAGTTTGATTGAACCTAAGTAATCTGGAATGACTGCAATGACTCAACAGTGGATAGTGAGTTATGGCATTCCAGACTCCAGACAGAGCTAAACATTTGATACTTTAAATGCCACAACAGTGCTTAGAAGCACAGCATCTCAAATACAGAAATTGTGTTTTATTTATTTAAGATGTATTGAAACATTCTCTTCTAAGTTACCTTCCACAATCACACACTTTCATTGTAGGTTTTCACACAGCACCAAGCCTCCGAAAGTGTGACTGATCAACAGACTTCCATGTGGTTCATTTGGTTGCATATGGTTTCTCTTACCTTCTGTCTGAGGTATGCCTACATAGGATGACTCAGCAGCTGAGTCAGAGCCTGAGGTCAGGAGTGTGTTTGCCCTCAGCTTACAGTTGGAAGTGCCGTGGTAGGTCTTGCGACAGATAGTGCAGAAGGCATAACGGCAGGAGGGGCAGAGGGCAGCGGTTGTGTCCGGTTCCAGCACCACTGGGGCAACACAGGCCTTGCGGGCGCAGTAAATCACGTCAGCCATGCGGTCCAGAGTAGACTGGAGCAGGAGGCGGTCGTAACGGGTGAATAACTCCTCCCCAACCAACTGCTTCACCTTCAACAACAGTTCATTCTCTGAGTTTAGTTTCCACATAGTGTAGAATAGCAGTTTCACACAGGTTAACTTCAGATATTCACTGAGGAAACTGTATTTCAACTTTGATCTCCAAAATAATGATCTATTCAATTCTGTTTTTTATTACCTGTGAGGGTGTAGCTGTGGAGCTGCACTCAGGCTCTGGACAGGTAAGGCCACGGACGTTCCCGTCTCTGATCTGGACCGTGAAGTACTCCGACATGCATTCATTGCAGTAAACATGGCCACACTCTCTGAACTGACTACAGCCTAACTTGCTCATGAAGCAGATCCCACAGTCATATGCCTGTCCCTCAAACACTCTCAGCCTATGTCTCTCATCATAGTCCAGCAGCTGCACCAGGAGGTCTGTGTCTGTGGCTAACATTGAGAGGGCCCTTGGGTCCAGGCAAACTGCAGCCTCATCAGATGTTCCAACTACACTTCCAACAACACTGCCCTCTGCAGCCCCCTGAGAGTCTCCAGCCTCTCTGCCCTCAGTGGATGGAGTGGCCTTGCCCTGGTCATTGACAGGGATCTCCAGCGGTGGCTGGATATGCAGGAAGTCGAGCAGGTCGTCTCTGAGGAACTGGACCCAGTAGAAGAGGACCACGCTGCCCACAGTGTCCTGCCATATCTCATCCAAATGCTTGCACACTGCTGAGAGCTGAGAGGTTAATAAATGATTACTACACATACAAATGATGTCTAAAACTCAATACACTTCACAGTATTGAATACATTATTGATCTACTCACAAAAGGTTTTACTAAACATACCTGACTATGGGAGAGCCACTTACAGCTCAGTATAAACTTGGGTGATGAGGTGGAGGGGTAATCCAAAGGTAGGTCGAAGGTCAGCACCAGAGGAGGGAGGTAAGATATGACATAATCTCTGTGCTTGTCACCTTGGTATCACAATAAAGACAAAAGAAGCCTGGATACCATTCATCTGCTTTACCAGAATACCCTGAGTATATAATATATGTTTTGTCAACTTCTATTGTAGCATAGCCTAATTAAAGGCTACAATAAAACTGGTAGTGAGATCAAAATAATTCAAGACTCATAAAATGGTTTCTAAATTGTGAGTTGAGGTGATTTGCATAAATTATAAAATAATCACTATTATTTTAATCCAAACCTGCTTTGACAATCACACTGAAGTCCCGAGGTAGGTCCAAAGAGACCAGGATTTCTCCACCCAATCCTGACACAGCCGGTCGGAACTCCTTACCGTAGATACTCGCGAGCGCCAGCAGTTCATCCTCTTGAGCTTCCAAGTCCGCGTTCATAACACTCTAGCGTCACTTCACTAAATTTTCTAAACGTATTATTATAGCTACGTTTATGAGAATAATAGGCCTACACTAGATATAATACTTCCTTCGAGTTGGTTTAGCTCTTTTACTACCGTAAATGTACTTATATTACCTCCGAAGCGCTAATGTTGTTGTGCCCGCCTATAGGAAACCTTGTAACACGGAAACGTAGAGCTTCCTATTAGTTGATTTTGATACCTTCCAGTGGGAAACTCATGCCCCATTCATGTCATGTCGGAAAGTCGGGAACTCAGAGTTAAAATAAACGTAACTTATTTGCGTAGAGCTTCCTATTGGTTGATTCTGATACCTCCCAAGTGGGTACTCCGAGTTTCCCGCTTGGAAAGTATCAGAATCAATCAATAGAAAGCTGTACTCCAAAAACTTTAGGAACCAATAGGAAGCGTAAATAACTTTTTACTCAGAGGGTATACGGGTTTCCAAGTTGTCTTGAAAGCAGCACAAAATCGGAATCCCTGTGCGTCACTTCTTGGATCCGCAGCCCATACTATTATCGTTCTACGTTAAAGTGACAGAGTAGCCTGATGCAAGAGTGAATAAGAACAAGTAATAGTGTTGGCGAAGCAAATTGAGCAAACAAACCCCAATCACTTTGATTGATTTACCCCTTGGATCATGTTACACAGGCAGGGGTTCGCAAACTTTTTTGGCCCTCGACCCCATTTTGATATCAATACCCCACCATGTAAAAAAAGTGATGTAACCAATGTTTACTTTTTACATTTGGGCTATGACAGTCTATTACAAATCAGTCTGACAGTAATTTTGACAGTATTTCAATCTGAAGACTGTATGGTTTGAAGTGTAATGTATTTTTCGTTATATGTCGGACCCCAGTAAGACTAGCTGTAGCCATTGGCGTCGGCTAATGGGGATCCTAATAAATACATTAAAAAGTGACTGAAATGCATCAGAAAGGTATTGGGAAGTTCAGAAGATCATCAAGCAATAATGGTTTTATGGTCTTCTGTGTAGAAAAGAACATCATCATTAATTATGTTATTTTTCCCACAGTCTGATTTAGTGCTTGGTCTTGTCCACTAGGTTCTAATGTCTTGTTGGCATAGTAAAGGGAAACAGTAGGTATGTACATAAGCACCACAGGAGGTTAGTGTCACGTTAATATGGTGAGGACGGGCTCATATTAATGGCTGGAACGGAATCAATGGAATGGTATCGGAATCAAACACATGGTTTCCATTTGGTTGATACCATTCAATTTACTTTATTCCAGCCATTTTTATGAGCCGTCCTCCCCTCAGCAGCCTCCTGTAGTATGTACTTGTTCCTGAGAGTCTTATCTTTCAGTGATGGGGTCATAATATTTTGTAGCTTAAACCATTCAAAGGATAGAGACACATTTGTAGGAATAAAACATAAACCGCTGCTACCGGAGGTTACTGACTTAACCCCGGTTCTATTAACCAAGCTCTAATTTTCTCTTGCGACCCCATTTTCAAATCAGGCGACCCCACATTGGAACGCGCCCCCTCGTTTGGGAAACCCTGTTTACAGATCTGTTACAAGAAGAGGGTCAAAGGGAGGCTACCCCATCCCATCAGTCAGTGAGATCACTCCATGAATGCCTCCCATCGTGTTTTTAAGAGTTTTAGCAGGATTAGCCTTGTGGAAATAGGATTAACAACACTCTGTGGTGGAAAAAGTACCCAATTGTCATACTTGAGTAAAAGTTAAGATACCTTAATAGAAAATTACTCAAGTAAAAGTCACACAGCAAAATAGTACTTGTGTAGAAGTCTAAAAGTATTTGGTTTTAAATATACTTAAGTATCAAAAGTAAAAGTACAAATCATTTAAAATTCCTTATATTAAGCTAATCAGATGGCAAAATAAAAAATAAAAATATTTTTTTACGGATAGCCAGGGGCACACTCCAACACTCAGACATTATTTACATACGAAGCGTTTGTGTTTAGTGAGTCTGCCAGATCAGAGTCAGTAGAGATGACCAGGGATGTTAAATTGATAAGTGCGTGAAATTGACAATTTTCCTTTCCTGCTAAGCATAAAAAATGTAACAAGTACTTTTGGGTGTCAGGGAAAATGTATGGAGTAAAAAGTACATTATTTTCTTTAGGAATGTAGTTAACTAAAAGTAGTCAAAAATAGAAATAGTAAAGTACAGATACCCCAAAAAACGACTTACAGTGGCTTGCACCCCCCTTGGCATTTTTGCTATTTTGTTGCCTTACAACCTGGAATTAAAATTGATTTTTTTAGGGGTTTGTATCATTTGATTTACACAACATGCCTATTGAGCGTGCATAACTATTCACATCAGTGGGATGTTCAAAGTTTCGGATATAATTCTTGATAACCCAACCCTGATCTGAACTTCTCCACAACTTTGTCCCTGACCTGTTTGGAGAGCTCCTTGGTCTTCATGGTGCCACTTGCTTGGTGGTGCCCCTTGCTTAGTGGTGTTGTAGACACTGGGGCCTTTCAGAACAGGTGTATATACTGAGATCATGTGACAAATCATGTGACACTTAGATTGCAGACAGGTGGACTTTATTTAACTAATTATGTGACTTCTGAAGGTAATTGGTTGCACCAGATCTTATTTAAGGGCTTCATAGCACGCACAATTTTTTTAAACAAGTTACAGTATTATTTTCATTTCACTTCACCAATTTGGACTATTTTGTGTATGTCCATTACATGAAATCCAAATAAAAATCCATTTAAATTACAGGTTGTAATGCAACAAAATAGGAAAAACGCCAAGGGGGATGAATACTTTTGCAAGGTACTGTAAGTAGTACTGATTCTCATTAACACAAGAGGATGCATTTGGAAATGCAGAAAAGTGCAAGACCTGTACTAAATAGGTATGTATTTAAACCATATATTATATTTTCTTGTAAATTGAATTCTCAAATTACAAATTATTTTTGTAATATTCATAACAGTTTAACTGCTTTCGCAAATCAATCCCAGAAACATTTGGAAAGGTACAGTATGCTACTGCTTTACTTACTGTATACCATCACCCTTTACATCTCACTTTGCTTTCTGTTTATTCCTATATCTGAAAAGGTCAGTTTACTAAAACTTCAATTCTGAAAAAGTTTTCCGAACCTGTAGTAGTACTGGTTAGGTGAAATATTTGAAGCATTAGCACTGTTAAAAGGTGCTGCATGTGGTATATGAGAATAGCACATTCCTCCTGAATTCCCCTTGCCTAAAAATAATCATCATTCCCCCTCCTCACAGAGAGTTGTGTATCTGCATTGTAGCCCGTGTTACTTCCTGCCACGGCAGAGAGAGATCACGCTCGGAGGAGAAATGTAAGGTGTCTGTTTGAGGATAACACCCGAGCAGAGAGGAAGGCTGGTGTCCCCCTGGGTTAGCCAACACAAAGCCTGGCTGATTAATGACAGCGGACGGACTGACGGCTCTGCTTTGACGTACACATTCTCCACAGGAAATGTATTCAGTCCCCTGCAACTCCTCCTCCTCCTCTTCTAGACTACAGCAAGCAGCACATTGACACTGCTCTCCTGGAATGGTACCAGAGAGCGGTGCCTCTACAGAGGTATTACCACCTATCCCCACTAGATGACTGTGGTGCCCCGTCACAGGAAACTAGACTAGAACACTGTACCTGTGAGATGTGGCCAACTGGCCATCAACTGTGAAGTATTACAGCCAAATCAAATCCATTTATTTCACAAACAGTCAAATACAGAGATAGGTGCTTGAAATGATCAAAATTCAGAAGGTGTGTCATGAGTAACATTTGCCAGTTTTCCGCATGTGCAGTGCGTTCTAACATCCTCACGATATGCTGACTCATACACCAAGGCATTAAGCACAGAGCCATAGAGGAGCAAACGGCCACTCATGACAAATGGACACAAGCTGGTGTCAACAGTCTGAAATACCAGACCTTTTTTTCTTCTAACGGAAAAACCTGGTCTGATGTGTGTAATGAGGAACAACCTGATGCCGCACTTGAAGCATTTATGAAATTGCTTTATCCGGTTACCGAGGGGCATGCGCCCATCGAGAAACTGACTGTTAGAACTGCCAAATCCCCATGGATAGATAATGAATTGAAAAACTGTATGGCTGAGAGGGATGAGGCAAAGGGAATAGCAAAAGTCTGACAACACAGCAGATTGGCAAACATACAGTAAATTAAGAAATCACGCAACTAAACAAAAAGAAGAAGACACTTTACTATGGAACAAGGATAAATTATATAAAGAATGACAGTAAAAAGCTCTGCAGTACCTTAAATTAAATTATAGGCAAAAAAAGCGAACTGAGGGTTGGGGATGTGGAATTGGAGACAAGTGGGAGTGGAGTTGCTGGGCAGGGTATAGAATGACAGTCAAAGATAAAAGTAAAAAAAATTTAGTCTAAATTAAACATAACAAAAAGTAAGTTTGAATCACACTGAGGGGCAGTGTTGTTACAGCTAATGCTTGTTTGTCTGAGGTTGATGCCCCACAGGTGTTTGTACACATGCATATACACACACTCTCATTCAAATGCACACACGTGCACATACACGGACACACACACACAGAGGTATTACCACCTATCCCCACTAGATGACTGTGGTGCCCCGTCACAGGAAACTAGACTAGAACACTGTGAAGTATTACAGCCAAATCAAATCCATTTATTTCACAAACAGTCAAATACAGAGATAGGTGCTTGAAATGATCAAAATTCAGAAGGTGTGTCATGAGTAACATTTGCCAGTTTTCCGCATGTGCAGTGCGTTCTAACATCCTCACGATATGCTGACTCATACACCAAGGCATTAAGCACAGAGCCATAGAGGAGCAAACGGCCACTCATGACAAATGGACACAAGCTGGTGTCAACAGTCTGAAATACCAGACCTTTTTTTCTTCTAACGGAAAAACCTGGTCTGATGTGTGTAATGAGGAACAACCTGATGCCGCACTTGAAGCATTTATGAAATTGCTTTATCCGGTTACCGAGGGGCATGCGCCCATCGAGAAACTGACTGTTAGAACTGCCAAATCCCCATGGATAGATAATGAATTGAAAAACTGTATGGCTGAGAGGGATGAGGCAAAGGGAATAGCAAAAGTCTGACAACACAGCAGATTGGCAAACATACAGTAAAT